ATAAAATAAGACTCAAGAAAGAAATAAAAAACACAATTCTTGGAAAATATAGAAACTTCAAAGTTTCATGATGCTCTCCTCAAAGTTAGTAAGCAATAAGGATTTTGGGTGGAAGGCAGTTCAGAGTAGCTGAGGTTCCTGCTAAGCATAAGGGGGTTCTATGGATGAGCTATGGTGAATCATTGCCTTGCTGGGGTGGGCTTTTCAGTGATACAGCTGCCTCTGAGTTGTTGATGTTCCTATAAGTATCCCTCACCCTAATAAACTCACCTATTCACGAAACTAGACTAGGAAGACACTGTTTCTTGGTCAGTTACAGATGCGAGTAAAAAGTCAATTGCTTGTGTCTCCTCAGGAAAAAATAGTACAACACAATTTCTGTCTAGAACAGGGACCAGAGGAGTCAAAGATTAATTGAGGAGGACTGCTTGTCTTGTCTGTACACCGGGTGCTGATTATGGAAGTGAGGCTGTCCATGCAATCAGCCCCCTCAATCCCATACCCACTCATATCTGAGCAGAAGCTAGGCACAAGAGGGTAGGTATTGGTAGGCCTTTGGACACAAGGAATGCTATCTTTTGTCTGTCGTGGGTACATATGCACCTCAGCTAGAGAAGCGTGCCTGGATGGTAGGTGCAGACAGGAATTCCCATGAATAATACATGCAGGTGAAGGTCCTAGGTTTCCCAGTGATTTGTCAGAAGAGGAGTGTATGTAAAACCCAAGGCAAGTGCAGTCCCAGGTTGCTAAGCTATCCTCGTGTTCGTGCCTGCCTTAAGGGGATGCCAGAGGGTAATAATAAAGTTCTAATAAAACCATAATGAACTCACTGACTCATCAACCTGAACATGGATGGAATCACTAATTTATCATTGGAGCCCTCTCTGGGGCAAATAGACATTTCTTCATATCTTCCTAGGAAAAGTCATACAATAGGAGAGATGATTTAGCTTTGATCACTATACTGACATTGGTGTCACAGGACCTAAGAAGCAATTTGTGCATTGTTTTAGCTTGTTTCTCTGTTGACTAAAACTAACCAATTGCAACTTGAGAACAGAGAGGATTTAATTGGCTGGCAGGTTACAGTCCATCATCAAGGGAAGCAAGGGCAGGAAGTAAAGAAGAAACTACAAAGAAGCACTGCTTACTGACTTGCTCTCCACAGCTTGATCTCCCTGATTTCTTACCCAGGATTACATTCCTAGGGCTTGCACTCATCACAGTGAGCTGGGTCCTCCTACATCAATTAATAAATCAAGAAAATGCCCCCCACAGGCATACAAAACTGCAGATCTAATGGAAGCAGTTCCAAATTTAGAGTTCCTCTTCCAAGTGAGGCAATGTTGTTCATGCCTCTAATCACAGGACTCTGGTGATTTCTTTCTCTTTTTTTTTTTTTTTTTTTTTTTTTTTTTTTTTCTACTGGGTTTTTTTTCAGGGTTTCTCTGTGGCTTTGGAGGCTGTCTTGGAACTAGCTCTTGTAGACCAGGCTGGTCGCGAACTCACAGAGATCCCCCTGCCTCTGCCTCCTGAGTGTTGGGATTAAAGGCGTGCGCCACCACCGCCTGGCAGATTTCTTATCCCCAGATATAATTACAGTCATGTCAAAGCCTTCCTGGCCAAAGCAACCATCATATTTCCTAGGATATTCCAGTTCCCCATATACTTACTACATTCTGTTCTTCCCATTTTCAGTAATTCTTCTAGTAATGAAAGTCCCAATACAATTGGGAAGAAAACAGTAACCAGGCATGGTTTGCTCTCATTTGGGATGGTTGGTTGGTTGGTTGGTTGGTTGGTTGGTTTGCTTGGTTTTGCTTATAATAAAGAATGTGGACAGCACATTTCAGATAAAAAAGGGGAAAGATTCTTCTGAAAATTTTTGATGAGTGTGCTGATTATGGACGTTATGTGCAATGTATTAAGCTTTTGAAGACTCAGTGTAAGTCAGGGCTATTTACAAAGGTTCAAGATATATGAAGAACACAAGAAATTATAGCATCACTCAAGCTAGGACAGATGTGTTCAGAGCTGCAGTAAAGTGAGTGTCCTGAGCTCAGAGTCTGTGACACACAAGACTTGAGGCTCATATTTATTTTTGAGGCTCAGGAGAGTACTGATCTCAATCTCTCTCTCTCTCTCTCTCTCTCTCTCTCTCTCTCTCTCTCTCTCTCTTTCTGTTTATCTCTC